GGTCTGCAGTATGAAGTGTTTATGAAGTCACTTCAGTATTTGAAGTTCCTCTGAGGGTAAGGACACACAACTGCAGGGATGGCACACCTGCTGAGACCTAATATTTGTTATCCTGGTGAACCTGACAGGTGTGAGAGCAAGATGGCAGGGAACAGCCTGGTGCTGCCCATCGTGCTGTGGGGCCGCCGGGCGCCCACGCACTGCATCTCCAGCCTGCTGCTCATGGAGGAGTCCTCTGTCATTGTCACTGGCTGCCACGATGGGCAGATCTGTCTCTGGGACCTGTCTGCAGATCTAGAGGTAAGGATAAAGTCTGCATGATCTCAATTTTTTGTGTGTTAAGTGTGTGTTGTTGTCAGTGGGATATTACTCTTCAATAGTACAGTGTCCACTCCAGTCTTCAGTTCCTTCCCTGCCCTGTTCCCTTGTCCTTCCTCCTCCTCCTGGGGCCTGGATTGGCACTACATGCTTCCTGTGGCCAGGATTTCATATTAGACAGACACCCTCTTGCTCTTCAGCTCTGTTGCTGCTCCTGCAGTCAGTTTTTAAGTACTTCCTCTTTTCTCAACTGCTCCAAACTAGTTGTTACTTTCAAGTTTGGCTTCTTAGTATTGTTTTGTGAAAACAGATTCCAGTGATCAGAGAACTGTACTTAGAGAACTTTTTAAGGTTATTATTTTATTCAACCACTTGTGTTGTTTGTTTGGTTTTTTTTTCCCCATGAAAACTGAAGAGAAAAGGCTAGTAGCAGAGATAAAGGTTGAGGATTAATAGTTTGATGCCAGTTGGAGCATTCGAGTTGCCCTAGAGTTGAAATTGTCAAGTGTCTATTTTGAATATAATCTTCTTGTTTGCCTTGGTACAAAGAGTTTTAAACTGCTGGAATAGAATAGCAAACCAATCATTTCTGGTTACAAAGCAGCATGTGTCAGGAAACGGTCACATCAGGTCCCTAAATATCCCAATGTCTTTGAGTTACCCCCATAAATTATGTTTATGTCTGGGATATTTAGAAAGAAAGGCTGAAAGCAACTGGTTCTTTCTAGAAAGGACAAATAAGGGGCAGTTTTGGTTTTTATCTTTTGTCTATGCATGGGTTTTATGTAAACTTACTTACCAGTATATGTGGTTGTGAACTATTGTTGCAATCAACACCCTTTTTTTCATTCAAGTTGGGCCAAATTCAGCCTATGATGTAAAATTATTGCTCACAGGAGTTTGTGAAATGCATATTTTCCCAAATTTGCATTCAATATTAGGGAGAAACCCTTTTTTAATGCACTACAGCAGCACTCTGTGCAAGCTGTTTGAGATTATATATCTGCTGCTATACTAATTGTGTGTATATATATATTAACACATGTATTTATGTAATGCATAAAATGGAGATCTGGAATATGTGTATTCTGGTTAAGCAACAGTGCTTATGTTATTTTTACTTCACATTTTATTTCCCTAATTCTAGATTAATCCCAGAGCTCTGTTGTTTGGTCATACAGCCTCAATTACTTGTTTATCAAAGGCCTCTGCTTCCAGTGAAAAGCAGTACATAGTGAGTGCATCAGAGAGCGGGTGAGTCTCCTGGGCTTCATACCACACAGGTCTGTTCACTGGTGCAGCTGGAGGGCAGGAAGAGGGCAGGTTGTTTATGTGCACAGTATTTTATCCAGATATTCCAAACGATGGGGCTTCTTCCCTCTAGGCCTAACATGTTTAAAACTTGGCAACCTGTCGTACAGTTTATTTATGGTCCTGTTGCAGTGTTTGATTTTTTGTTTGTTTGTTTTTAGTCCTTAAGATAGATACAGCAAATGCATTGTATTTTTAAAGAGGTTTTATTTACTAACCAGAGTAACTGTTTGGGAGGTGGAAGTGGGAGGGGTTTCTCCTGCAATTGACATTCATGGGGATTGCAATGAGGTAATTTAAGGGGGGAGAAAAGTCATCCTCTGTCAGTTTTAAATAAAATATATGTTGTGCACTCACATTTTAGCCTAGATTTTGGGCTAACTTATGGAAAGGATACAGTGGGATAAATTGCTGGTCAAAGCTGTGGGGACAACTAGTTTTCTCATTCCTAACTTGCACATTATTCCCCCCACATCTCTTCTCCCCATCCCCTGCCCCAGGCTGGGAGCAGGATCTTTGGTAGCCAGCTGTCCTCTGCTGGGAGAGCACTTCCAGCTGTCCCTGCTCTGCTGTGCTTTCATCCAGTAGCTCTTGCTGTCTGCATTCAGGTCCCTTCCTGCTATGAGGACCATCTCCCCAGGTGGCCCTGGATATTGGTGGGCGTGGGTTGGTGTGGCCAGGCTGGCAGCCCAGCTCAGGCAGGACAGGGCAGAGGGCTCAGCTTCCAGAGCCTCACAGAGCCAGACAGCTCCCAGCACCTTCTCCAGAGCTCCTCAGTGGGTGAAATATTTGACCTGAAAGCATTGGCAAGAATGTTCCTTCCCAGGGCATCACTCTGTTCTGGAGGGCTGCTTTGTCTTTTGTGTACAGAACTTACTGTTTGAATGACAGAGTTTTCTGCTGTGCAAAGCAAACTTTTAAAAGGAAAAATAAGTTAGTCTGCGGTTCTGTTTGGTTACTTGGTTTGTTTTTAGAAGAGTATTTAAAAGCTGGATCTCCAGACTGAGGCCAGTTGGATCAACTCTGGCTGAGGAAGACGTTTCTTAACCTCTGTCCCTATAAATGTAGCTGGCCAGGGACAGGTCTCTTGGGTATCCCATTAAAATAAAGAAGCTTTTTGTCTGGAAAAGGTGGGGAACAATATGACTAAATAACATTTGAACATGGAAACTGGGAGTAGAATGTGTAAAACTTTGCAATTTCCACCTTGTACTGATTTTGGTACTAAGTAATCTTTCCCTTTGGAAAGTCAGAAGGACTGGAAATTCGAGCTGATGTTGGATTTCTTTTATCTAAATACAGTTTATATAGTCACTAACAATGGTCCAAACATTGAAGTTTCTCCCAGTGTAAATGGTTTTTAAAGTCTTGGGAGACTGAAATATTTTCCATGTCATTTTAATCTGCCTTTTATATTTTAGGGAGATGTGTCTGTGGGATGTGAATGATGGGAGATGCATAGAGTTTACTAAACTAGCCTGCACACACACTGGCATACAGGTTGGTACCTGGGCTGTGTTCCAGAGGGCTTGTTCTCTGTTGCAGTGCATGGATGACTAGAGATCAGGTACCCAAGCAAGGCTGGTTTGGTTCATTTTAGCTTAGTAGTGCCATTATGTGCATACTGCAGTGTCTCCTGGTTTATACTGTATCATCAAACACCCTGGAGCTGGAAATATGTGCTGTGCTCCAGCACTTGAGAAAATGTATCCTAACTGATGTGAGAGGCTGGAAAGAAAGGTGGCAAAGGGGAACACTTCTGGAGGAGTGCTGCAGGGGAGGTGGGGCTGTGAGGATGAGCTTGGCAGGGAATGCTGAGGCAGGCTTCTGCCAGCTGGGTGTGCAGGGCAAGGATTGTGCTGGGAAGATAAGGGGAATGGGGCCTCCACAAAAAAGCTCCCCTCAGCAGCGCTCCATAGTAATTTGTAAACATATAGACATGAAAATACATTTATGCAATCACAGTTTTGATTAAGAATGAAGTAATCAATGTCTCACATGGAGTATAACTAATGTATTTTTTTCTACATCCATTTAGTTCTATCAGTTTACAGTTGGGACTCAGCACGAAGGGAGACTATTATGCCATGGACATTATCCAGAAATTCTTGTTGTGGATGCTACCAGCCTTGAGGTTCTTTATTCTTTATTGTCAAAGATATCTCCTGACTGGATCAGCTCCATGGCTATCATCCGATCCACCAGAACACAAGGTAACCATTTGTCTTGCTTTTGTTATGGCTTTGCCTCCTGGTAAGAGAAACACTGTTTTCAGCTTTTCCAAGAACCTGGGGAGGAACTAGAATGTTCCTGGTGACTAGAATGTTCCTGATGTTCTCTGGCAACCCCCAGCAAGCTTTCTGAAAAGCAAGATGTTCACAGTTGTATCTAGTCCCTCAACAAAAAAGCTGTGTTTAGTATCTATGCAGTATTTCTGTTGCTCTTCCATCAAATGGGACTTCTGGCTCTGGCCACAATTTAGCTGCTTTCCCAGGAACAGAAGCTCAGTCTCCCCAGATTACTGTGTGTGTGAGTGTTTGGCAGGTTCCAGGCTGACCTGGTAAATACATTCCCTCCCATCCTATTCAGTGTGGGCATGTGCTGAAACCTGAAAGACAAGGAGCCTTCCTACAGCAAGGGTGATTTTTCTTTTGAATAGAAGCACATCCCACTAGGGTGATAACTTGTTTTCTGTTTGAGAAAGAGTTCTGGTGAGCACTCTGACAGCAGAGCCAGGCACTGGCACAAGGCTGGGGGAAGGACTGCAGGCACTCTAACTGCTAGGGCTGTCACCTGCCTTTCCACCGTGGTGTGTGCTGTGCATGGGGGACCATCTGGCAAGCTGCACCTTGTCACTTGTGACAAAGCACATATGTACCATGAGAGTTTCTTGTGCTTAGCAGCAGCATAAAAAGCCCCGTCACAACATTTTCAAAGCTATAATTGTAGAAAAAGTGTTTCAGGAAGGCACTGTTCCAAATACACAGTGGGATTAAAAACCTGATGACTGCAGAGCAAAGAACTGGTGGCAGTACTGACAGTCTGTTGAGGGGAGAGGTGTGTGGGCAGGCTGGTGTTTGGTGGGGACTGGGGGCTGTGGTTGCAGCAATACCTGTCCACACGTCTGTCTGTTCTCTGCTGGGTTCTTAGCTCAGCAGGCTTTCTGTTCTGGCAGCTGAGGGGCACAGGGGTCTCTTTCAGGTTTTCTTGTTGTGGAGACTAAGTCCTCAGAAGCCTAAGGAACACTAAGGAAGAAGATCCTGACAAAAGAGAAGCTTTTTCTCTTGGGTGAAGGCTGATGGGAATTGTAAACTGATTCCTCCCAAAGTCCCGGAGTGGGGAAGCTCAGTTGCTGTCCCCACAACATCCAAGTTACATCTCAGAGGGATGGGACAGCCCACGAGGTCCAACAGGAACACTAGAAACAACTGTGGCTTCCCTTCCCCCTGTTTAATTTGAGCCCTAGTATTAATTAACAGAGAGGGGAATAAGTGTGTCAACACAACCCCCTGGGACTGGTGTTTATGGATGTGTGCTTCTGGAACTCCACTTTGCAAAGAAATGCTTGATTGTGCAGCAAACACTCCAGGAATGTTTTGATAAACTTCAATGTTGAGGTACTCTCAGTATGTTTCTGTACTCAGATGTGCACAAGTGTGCAACAAAATGAAGATGTCCTTGTCCTTATCAGTCTGCTGTTTGTTTCTCCCCAGAGGATACAGTTGTAGCAGTGTCAGTGACTGGCATCCTGAAAGTGTGGATAATAACCTCTGAAGTCAGTCGCATGCAGGTAAACAAAGGCTGCTCAATTAGTGGTGTTTCCTGTTGTGATGAAGGGAGAACTTCTATTACTGCTGTTTCCTGTTCTTCCAGCTTCCTAATGATACAAGGGATTTGTCATTTAAAAATCAACTCTCTTAATTTTGTTATACTGATTCTTACCAGCAGAGCTCCTAACCTTTCATGTTTGATTCAGGGAACTTCAAAATTAAGCACAGGATCATCTCCAATTTCTACTGTTTCTTTCTTTTTTAAATTATTTTTATTTTGTACCATTTTGTTGTCTTGGCATCTGGAACAGAGTAAAGATTGAGGGTACCTGCTGCCTGCTTCTGCCTTAATTCCCTGGCTATCCTGATTTTCTCTGCCCTGTCTCAAGAAATAAGGGTGCTTTTTATGAAAAGGAAGAGCTCTGTGAAATGGGTGAAAATCTGCATTACAGGCTGGTTTTTCACTCAGTCTCCTGTTGGTCCCCACAGGAGGTACCTGCAGCCTCCTGCCTGAAACAACAGGTTTTATAACTGCAAACCAAACTTTTCAGCTGATGGGTGCCATGGCTGTCCCACAGCAGAGTGAGGATGGACAGTCAGTTAGAGAGGGTTACATTGGGAGCTACTTTGTGTGTCTTCTGGATTTGGACAGGTTAGCAGTGACCACCCTCAGTACACTAGAAGAGAGAGTTTGGCTTTGCAGTGGGTCCAGATGAATCAGGTGTGATACACCAGGCTGGGGCTCAGACTGAGGGTGTGTTCAGCCAAGTGGTTATGGTCCTGTGCTCTTTGACAGTGGTAGAGACCATGGTCAGCAAAGACTGAAGCTTCACCTCTGGCAAAGGATCAGTCTGCAGCTGAAACCTTGGAGAGGTGGCCCTGGTTGTCACCACGAAGAGGGGAAGGGGCTGGGGTGGTCAGCAGCTCAGCTCTCAGGTGTGCTGGTTGGTGCTGGCCCCTGGTGCTGGCTGTGCTTGTGCCATCCAGGAGGGATAACCTCCTGGGCCAGGTGTTGGGCTCTGCAGGACACTCATACCTGTCACTGCTCCACTTCTGTATTTCTGCACATCTGGCACTTGTCTGAGAGTCTGAAGGTTGGTGTTCAACATATAATTTATATATAGGAGTATCAAAATGAACCAGAAGTGTTTCTGTCAGTTACAATTTGCAGGAGCATTGACAAGCTCATGACTTGGGAACGCTTAACATTGTCAAGAAATGCCTTTTATGAAGATGTTGCTCTTACAGAAGATAATGGCTCTCTTTAATTTCAGGTTTATAGATTGAAATGAAGTGCATTAAATGATTTTGTCTGTTTGCTTGCTAGGATACAGCTCCAGTGTTTGAGGAGGAGTCCAAGCCCATTTACTGTCAGAACTGCCAGAGCATCTCCTTCTGTGCCTTCACCCAGCAGTCGCTGCTGGTGGTTTGCTCCAAGTACTGGCGGGTGAGCAGAGCTGGGAGCAGCTGCTGCTGCTTTTCCCCATGGAACCTGCCTCCATGGAATGGCCTCTAACACATTTGCCTCAAGATGCTCCCCATCCTTCTCATAAATTCAGATAAACTGAATTTATCTGCTGTCAGGGTGTTTTAATCTGCAGTTGGTTAATTATGGCACGCTTTTCTGTGGCTTTTCAGGTGTTTGATGCTGGAGATTATTCCCTGTTGTGTTCAGTCCCGAGTGAAAATGATCAGACCTGGACTGGTGGCAACTTTGTGTCAGCTGATAAAGTGATTGTTTGGACAGAAGATGGACAAAGTTTCATTTACAAATTACCAGCCAGGTAGTCAACAATTAAATACTCCATTTATTTATTTTATGAGATAAAGTCATGAGTGGCTTTGGAGAAATACTCAGTATCTTTGGCCTTTATTTTGTTACAAAATCATATGTTATGGGAACTAGTAGTTCATGAGTTTATTTTGAAGTGTGGATCCCCTAAAAGCATCACAATGAAGCAATGCTCAGTAACTTAGATTGCCTCAGCCAAGGTTGCTTCACTGTTTTCTGATACGACACTAACTCTTTCTCACTTCCTACTGCAGCTGTGGAATGGGAAAAGGTACATTTTGCATTAAGCTAGTGTAATAAATTAAAATATAATTTAAACATTTCCTTTATCAGGTCCAAATTAAGGAAGAAATAGGATGTTGCTTTATGGAGCAGAATGGAAATGGTTGTATCATTGTAGCAGAGCACCTTTTCCACCCAGTAAGGGACCAACACCAGCATCTGAGTTTGTGCACCTAAATGAGATACAAAATTAAGTATCAAAGATGTTAAATGTAGAATGACTGAAGTAAAATAAATCTTTCTTCAGACATCTGCATGATATGTAAACATCTCTCTGTTCTGGATAGAGATACAGTTTTATCTTGCACATCCTTGAATATTCTCACACGAGTCAGGTGAGAACTTCTGCCTCCTCATCTGGTGTGATCACAGCATAAGGATGTCAGCAGATCTGCCTGGTGGTCTGTCAGAGAGTCCTTGGGTTTGGTGTGCTTTGGTCCTGACTGAGGCCAAATGTACTGAAGTCCAAAGCAGACCCAAAACCAGGCTTCCCTCATTCTTTTTCCTTCAGCTCTGAGGGTGTGGGACCTGAGCTGGACACGTTTGGAGCCGTTGTTAATGGACAAAGCACACCCTGTCCATGAACATGAATGACCTGCTGTGCACTGTATTAACAGCTGAAAAAGGAAGTGTTTCAGGGCTGGGGGGCTGGTTTTGATTAGTATTATTTAGTTAGCTAATGATGTAGTAATCAAGCTCCAGTGAACTTCATTCCTCTCTCTTTGTCCTTACCCAGCTGCCTACCAGCTAGTGACTCCTTTCGCAGAGATGTGGGGAAGGCAGTGGAAAATCTGATACCTCCTTTATTGTACAGTGTGTTGGACAGAGCAGATAAACAGGTAACACAGTTCTGTGGGGTTACTTTATGGACTGCATTTCTCTTCTAGAGGGCTGAAGCATGCATACACCATGACCAGTTCTTGTCTTTCAAAGCAGAGCTTTAGGATTTCTCCCATCCCTAGAGAAAGCAGATAAGAGGATAACTGATGCAATTTTCCTGCTCTTGGGTTGGGTTCTTGTTGCTTTTAAAATAAATGCTGAGGCTGGTCTCTGGTCAAGTGAATCTTCAGTTCCCATACACTAACAGTTTATCATTCATCAGTGTCTGGAGAAGTCAAGTTGTGATGTGCATGATGATTAGGCACTCAATGAGCAAGAGCTTTTAGAATCTCTGCTTCAAATTTGAAAGCTTGAATCCTTGCAAAGCAAAGATAATTTGTAGGTCAGAGTCCTCTTGAAGCTACACTTTTTTCTCCTTTACTATGAACTGTATCTGCTACAAACTGATATATCTCAGCCTGCTCTGTGATGGATCTAGTGCTTGTACGTGTACTACCAGGTATAAGTAACTCTGATTTACAAATGCTGTTATAACAAGACTCTTGTAGCAATCCTATTTCTATATTAGCAATTTAATCTCTTGCCACATTTGGACATTGAAACTAAAGTATCAGATGTTTTTCTTTATGTTGTCAATCAATGTTAAAACTTTGTTGCTCCTGTTGTGAACCATGTTCCTTACCAAGGGGTGTATCTTCAGGTCACGGGTGCAGTGAGAATGTTAACAATTTTAGAATACACACATGTCAAATATATTTTAAATATTAATATATTTAGAACAAAACCAACTGCATATAAAACTATTTTTTTCCTTTCTCCTAAGCCTGGCTTGTTTTGTAGCTAAGCACAGTTCCTTCTAAATGTGCTGTGTTTATTCTTTCTCCTGTAAGAAGGGTAAAGCACAAAGTTCCTGCATTTGAAAGGTACTGTGGATTATATGGAGAAGGTAAATCTTGAGGTTATTCCCAGGTTTGCATAAGTTCTGAGGTTAATTCTTCTGTTTTTTTAACAGCTGCTAATATGTCCTCCGGTCACTCGATTCTTCTATGGGCATAGGGAATTCTCCTATAAACTGTTAATCCAGGGAGACTCTTCAGGGAGGCTGTGTATTTGGAGTGTGCCTGATACTCTGGAACAAGACGATAGTGCAAAAGGTACAACTAGTTAAGACTTGTCGTTAAGTCTTTTAATGGGCTTCTTGTTTTGTGTTGTTCTGCTGGATAAAGCCCTCCTGCTTTTCCTACAATTTTTAAAAATTGTTAGCTTCCTGTAAGAGTTACGGTAATTTCATTTTTCCATATATGATAAAAATCTCAATGTGTCCTGAGCATGTTTTCAGGCACTAAGTTTTCCCTGCTTTTTTCCAAACGCTGACTGTGCTCATTGCTGCCTGCCTGGGGAACTTCTTGTAGCCTAGATCATATAATTATTTTCAGTTTTTTTGTTGTTCCTGTGTGTTGCTGTAGCTCCACTAGTCAGTAAATGAATCCCAGTATGTGCCTTTTGCTTTGTTCAGTGATGCCACGGGGGGTGTTGATACTTTTTCCTCTCCTCCTCTCAC